TTTTTCCTTCTCAGGAAACATTTTGTTTAGGAGCCTAAACAATAAGATTGTTGTTTCTAAGGATTTTTATCATTAAAAATTAATTTTGCATTGCTAACATATAATCTTTTAAGTATATATATGGGGATGATTAGAATAAAGTTCGCCGATTGTTGGTATCCAACGTATTATGTATCTTAAATTGACTATTAATAAAATAATAAAATGATAAAAAATAATTATTCTGTCCTATCCAAAATATTTCCTAGTTGAAAATCGAGGATAAGCATTGATTTGGTACTTGATGTGGATTGTTCAGCCATGTGACCATAATCTGGTGTACGAAAAAAGATACCATGGTACAATAACGTTTACAGAGCATTGATCTGTGATTTCATTTGGCTTTCAAAAAGCCTATAAATATAAATGGGAATGGGCAGGCTTTTTTTTTAAAAGGAATTCTGCAGAGGACGTACGCATTAATATAATAAAACATTAGAAAATTTTTAAGGGGACTCTCAGCTCACAAATGCTTATATGAGCTACAAAACTAAAAAAAGAAAAAAGATAAACCCATTCCCGAAAATGCCAGAAAAAAGTCCACACTAAGGAAGAATATAAATAACCTAGGAACATTCTAGAGCAATCAGAAGCCCGCACCTAAAAAATAAGAACAAAATATACTTAGCCAAATATTTCTGCCAAAAAAAATAACCTGCAATCATAAAAAACAAACAAAAACACCTACAAAAAATAGAATCTGCTCCGAAGAATAAAAAAACAAGCAATAACAAGATAATTTAATAGCAAATGATTAAAATTTTTTTTTTTTTGGGAAAACCCGGGGCTTGAAGCCCATATATTAAGAAACTAAAAGAAAATTACAAGTAACCTATAAATGAGAAAGACTAACTACCAAAAGAAGCAAAATTACACAAAGACAGTGGCAAAAACAAAATTTGACAATTGGCAAAAGAAAGACTCAGAAGGAGCACAGTCTTCAAAATAATCAGTATAGTGTGTCTGTAGACCAGGCAGTTGCACCGGTTGCCTAAGACAAAAACCCACATCAGTTGAATTGGCCATCGCAGCACATCCAGCCTGCCTACGATGAATCCCAAAAACGAGCCAGGTTGCCGCGCAGGCCCTCCAAGGCTCGGAGAGACTGGCTTTGCTCATCATTGTCTGTTTGCCAATCATCCACCCTATTTGCCAGCTGAGGTCTTTGTAGTATACCCGGGAAAACTAGATTTAAAAAATCCATGTTCAAACTGGGATAGAAGTGCAGCAACCAAATCTCGCATGCCCAGTAAGCAGCAGCCCGGGTCAGAAGTATAACAGAAAACAATATCGTTACCAGCATGAAGCACCTGGAAAGGAAACCGAGACCCAGCATCCATACAGCAAAAAACGTCCAGAATGTGCAGGCAAAAAATAACAACCTCCAGCCAATAAAAGCAACCAGACAGCACTTTAGTTGCCCAAAAAATCCTGAATAAAAGTAGTTTTGTGTTTCCATTTAACCGTTTTCAGTCTAATAGCCTCCAAAATAATGCCAATAACTTTAGCCACATTGTTGCTAGAGTTAGAGAAGCGGCGATTGTTTCTTTCCCTCCATATATGATAAGTGATGCAGCTAATAACTAAAAAGAAGAAATCCTTTTCAGTTCTATTAGATATCTCTGAGTTCTCAATGAAGTCTAAAGCTTGTATCAGTGTAGGTCTAAGTAAGAAGCTAGCAAACTTTGGCACAATAGTCTTTAGGATATAAAAAGAGAAATCGCAGTCAAAAAATAAATGAGAATGATTTTCAGTGTGCCCCGAGTAGAGAGAGCAGTTTATAGGGGCCATGATCCCTCTTTGACAAAGATTATCCGCAGTTTTAAGTTTGCAAATACATGCCATCCAAGTAAAACAAGCATATTTCAAGGCATAATTCTTTTGCCAAATAGATCTATACCAATCCACCTTTGGTAAATGAGAATAGTAAAGTTCAGTGAAGTCTTTAAAAACCCATTTAGCATTACCGTTCCATAAAACATCCTTGTTCTCCTTAATAGCCACTGTATTGATAATATTTTGAATAGTAGGATGCATATTTAAAGGAAAATGCCAAGTATCATTCCATAAAAAGTCTTTAACCAGAACATCATCCATACCCGGCAGATGATAAGTTTCCCCAATAGAAGTTCCATTAAGCCACGGGTCCCAGAGGAAAGAAATACTGCTGTGATTGGATACTGGGAAATGTAACAGCCTTTTAATTTTTAAGGAGGTCTCAGTGATGCGGTGCCAGGTTTTAGAGGCTGAAAGAGGTGGATGTTTCAGAGGAGAGATGTGCTTAGCTTTGTACCAACAGCTAAGAAGGTTTGGATTGTTGTAAAACCTGCCTAGAATAGAACAGAAAACTCCAAAGTATAGTGCGTCAATGGAAGGAATGCCAAGGCCCCCAGCAATTTTAGGAATGATAACTTTAGACCAAGGAATAAGATGCAGCTTTCTCTCCACCAAATTGTTATGAAATAAAAACTTAGAGCAAAGTTTGTTGATGGTGTCACAGCAACTTTTGGGGATGATAGACCCTCTGATCCAATAAGCAATGGAGTTAGTGATGGTGAATTTGAGAAATTGTACCCTGCCTGCAAAAGAAAGAAACTTGTTTTTCCAACCAGCAAGTAGAGCATAAATTTTGCTCAGTAGTGGTTGGAAGTGAGTGGCTTTAAGTCTTTTCGGAGAGATGGGTATTCCAAGATAAGTGATGTATAGATTGATGTTATGAATGCCAAGTTCCTCACAGATAATTTGATTTCTAGTATCATTATGAGAAAAAATGATAGCACTCTTGCTAGGGTTAATGTGCAAACCCGAATAGGAGGCAAACTTTTGCAGACAGGTTTTAAGATGATTGGCATTTTCTTTACTAGACTCCCCCATCACCAATAGGTCATCAGCATACATCAAGTGATTGATGTAAAAGTTTTTGTAACAGATTCCCTTGAAGTTATGAGAAGAAGCTTGATCAGTAATGATATTGGAAAGACCATCCATGGCAATACAGAAGAGAAAGGGAGACAAGGGACAGCCTTGCCTGAGACCCGTACTGGAGTTGAAAAACCCCTCAAGGGATCCATTTAAACAAATGGAAAAATAAACGTCTGTGATGCAACCTTTAATCCAAGTGACAAAGTTTACAGGGAATCCTTTCTGTAAGAGTCTTGCAATGATGAAATTCCTAGAAATAGTGTCAAAAGCTTTTTTGACATCCAGTTTAGCACAAAACATCCTGTTATTGCCTTTGAAATCTCTAAGTAATTCAGCAGCTAAAATGATGTTGTCGGTGGAGCATCTATTTGCTATGAAACTAGATTGACTTTCATGGATAATGTGTGGAAGGACATCTTTGAGTCTGTTGGCTAAAACCTTAGCGACAATCTTATATAAAACATTGCAAAGAGAAATAGGTCTATAGTCACTTATGTTAGAAGCATGTGAGCTCTTAGGAATTAAGGTAATAGCAGTTGCCTTAACTCCTTTCGGAAGAATGCCAGTAGAAAAAAAATTGCCAACAGCCTTGTAAACTTGCAAACCGATAATGTGCCAAGTTTTCCTATAGAAGGCATAGGAAAACCCATCGGGTCCAGGAGCTGTATTTTCATTGCCATCAAAAACCGCCTTCCTGACTTCATCAAAAGTTAAAGGAGAAACCAGGTTGTTGCTCAGATGTGTTGGAAGAGGCTTGCCTTGAGGGATATCAAGTGGGAATTGAAGGGGTTGATGAGGGGAGTTAAACAATCCCTCAAAGTGCTTAATGACAGCAGAAGAAATGTCATTAAATTTAGTGAAATGTCCGTCAGAAGTGTGGATCTCCTTAATGTTGTTCTTATTGTTTCTGCTTCTTATGTGGGCAAATAAAAAACCGAGGTCATCTTCCCCTTTAGTGAGCCATGACACTTTAGCTCTTTGAGCTAACCAAGAAGTAAAATGATTTTGCAAAGATGCAAGCTCCTCATTAATACTTTTCAAATTCTGATTTAAAGCCAATTCTAGAGGATGGGATTGTAACTGAACCAAACATTGGTGTTGCTTACTTTTAATTTCCATTAGGGCATTTGAAAGATGTGTAGAAGAAGCCCATTTCCTATTTTTAAGAGACCTTTTGAGAATTTGAAGGCTATGAGTAAAAGAAGCCATAGGGCTTCTAGCCGATCTAGTAGAGAAAGAAGCAAAAACATCGTCCCAAAATCCCTCCATGTTTATCCAAAAATTTTTGAACATAAATCTGACTGATAAAGCCTTGTCATGTGTTGAGTTGAAGATGAGGGGGGAGTGATCAGAACCAAGATGAGATTCCACACAATAGTAAGTATTAGGGAAAACATCCAATAATGCATTGTTCACCAGAACACGGTCTAACTTGATGTGTATGGGGTTATCCACTCTTTGATTGAACCATGTATAAAAAAGACCTCTAGAAGAAAGGTCTTGCACCCCACTATTAAAAATGAAGCTGTTAAGTTCACCCAATCTACCGGAGGATGAAGCCGAACCACCAGCCTTTTCAGTTTCATATCTATAGCAATTAAAATCTCCCATAATGACCCAAGGTTGGTCCGTATTGGGAGAAACAGCAATGATCTGATCCCAAAGGTTCCTTCGTTCCTTAACAGAATTAGCAGCATAAATAATAGTAAGAAAAATAGGAGGGACAGATCCCACAGAGAGTATACCATGGATGTGTTGGTAGGATGAAGAAATAGGGTTGAAGGTGAGAACCGATTCATCCCATTTAATCCAAATCCTGCCCAGAGCCGCATCCCCAAAATTGTTGCAGCTTCCTTCATTCTCAAAGAGACGATGAGTACGAAGAAACCATTGATCATCAAAGGAAGCAATAGATACTTTTGCTTCTAAAATGCATAACATCTTGAGATTCAAAGAACTAATCAGAGACTTGCAAAAACTGACTTTATCGGGGTTGTTATACCCCCTAACATTCCAACTAGCAAACTTGGGTAAGGACATTACGATTTTTGACCTTTGGCCTTCTTGGCCGATTTAGCTTTTGGAGGCTTTGGTGGCTTTGACTTTATGGGAGATTTTCCTCTATCAACCGAGGATCTAGTATTATGAATAGAAGATTCAGAGAGAATCTGATTCATGGATGTGAGGGAGGGGTCATCATCAGCATTAGAGGTGGATGTATTTTCTTTTCCGGAAAGTGCCTCAGAGGATTCAGGATTAATGTGATATTCAGTTTGCAAAGAAGCAAACTTGTTTAAGAGGGGGATTTTATGAGGTTGATTTAGGACTGGTGAGGAAGGAAGACTGGAAGAAGAGGTTTCTTCAGTAGGAGAGTTGAGGTTAGGAAGAAGGACTGTTTTAGCTGGAGAAGTGGTCGGGTTAGTTTTGAGAGGGTCTATAACCGGCTGGAGATTATTGGAGGCAGAGATTTGATTTTGCAATGGTTGTTCAGCCAACGACTGGTCCACAGGAATCGGAGTTGATAACAGAGCAAGAGAAGGATCGCTGATCAGGAGGGGGATAGTGGATTTTGAAGGTGGAACGTGAGCAGTAGTCTGAGAAGAGGATGGTCGATTGTGCGGCGGCCTCGAAGTACTCCGACCACGTCTTTTCGGAGGTTGTGGAGGAAGTATTGGCTTAGGATTTGGGTTTTTGGGACAAAGGGAAAAAGGGTGTATCAAAGACCCGCAACCTTCACATTTGTCAGGCTTCCAGTCATATAAAACTTTTAAAGTTAAATCTTCTCCTTCAATTTCAATCGGAATTTCATCCGGTAAAGGCGAATCTTTAGAGATTAGAATGCAAATCCGAGCAAACGTTAATCTAGAACGATTTGCAGTAAGCGCATCAACAGAAATAGCAATACCAATATAACTGGAGATTTTAGAAATACCAGTTGGCGTCCAGAGAGCCAGGGGGAAGTCTACTATTTTTATCCATACCGGAATCGGGGCATCCTCGTCGCATTTGGGCTTGAATTTTGGAGACCATCGCTGAAGGATGAACGGCTTTCCGAGAAGGAACCAAGGTCCTCCTGATAAAACCGATTCGAGATCTTCCTCTGTCGAGAATTTGAGTAAGAAGAAACCATCCGCAAGAGACAGAAGTTTCATGGATCCTTTTAGATGCCAGAGGTTCAGCATAGCTTTCAGCTGAGTGAATAACTTCCCACAATCAGAACCAAAGGTCTAAATAACCCAATGGCCGATTTCACTGAGTGTTATTCCAATGTCTACATTTTCTTTTGGTCCACGTATTGTTTTTTTTTTTATTACTACCTATAATAATGATTTATCTAATCATTTTTAGTGATATGACATCACCTGGACTGTTATTAGGCTCAATCTCTATTTTAATGTTTTTGTCTATTTTTTTATTTTAATGATTAAAATTAAAATAAAAAAACAGACAAAAACATTAAAATAGAGATTGAGCCTAATAACAGTCCAGGTGATGTCATATCACTAAAAATGATTAGATAAATCATTAGTATAGGTAGTAATAAAAAAAGAAACAATACGTGGACCAAAAGAAAATGTAGACATTGGAATAACACTCAGTGAAATCGGCCATCAATAAAATGATCAAACCCAACAATAATGTGTGAGCCAAAATCCACAGAATAAAATGAATTGGGCTATAGCACTGAACCAGAAGAAAATATCAGCAAACCGCGAAACCCACAGCCTAGGAAATGCACTAAACATTGCAACAACAAAAATGAAATGTTCACAGAAATAAAATTTAATGGGTAGGTGGAAAGCCAAGTCAGTGAATAACTTCCCACAATCAGAACCAAAGGTCTAAATAACCCAAAGGTACAGATAAGAGCATAAAGAATCCTTATCAGAATAATAAAAAGGCTCAGGTTTGATGTATCAGGATAATCATAACAATGCACCTGCTGCTCAAATCCAAATCACCGCCAATACAAATAATGAATAAAGACCATGGAGACAGAAAGAAAAAAGCCTAAATATCACAAATATGCAAAATGATCCAAATCCCTAGACAAATGAAATTAATCAAAACAAACAGAGTCACAGTAGTTAATCAAACCCAAAATTGATTATGGAAATAGAGAATCCTAAGCAAAGTAACAAAAGGATCATAAATAACCTTATAGATCCAATAATACCAGATATCAATCCAATAAAGATTGTCACTCGCATGAATTATAATTCTCAACCCAATAACACAACCACACAGCCTTCTAAGTAACAGAGGAAGAGAAGATGTGTAGCATAGGTGCAAAAAGTTAATATCTAGAAAGTAACATTCATAGCTAGACTTAATATTTCTAAGAAAAGCCCAAAAATAAATAGTGCATTGAGGAAAATACCAAAAAAAATGAACCAGCAACAAATTGAACAACATAACTAGAAAAAGAAACCACTAGATAGAGATCAAAGTTACCAAAAAGTGATAAAGTAACATTATATATAAACAGGGTCAAAACATCCACCACCATAAACAATAAAAGAGAAGCAGCACCCACAAGATGCCCATGCCAAAACCCTATAAACCACTAGATTTTCCATATAAATAAAAACTCCAAACCTCACAATAGTTAAATTAATGAAATAATGCATATATTGACAAAAGCAACAGAAAATCATGGAAAAAATGCAAGGAGAAAGAACCAGCTAACGGAACCGAATATAAGAACAACCAGATCAGTCTAATCTAACAATCCCATTAAGATTCCATGATAAAGAATTTTCAGAAAGATTGACCTCCGATTGTTGCAAGTTCTGGTGTAGGTGCAACTGCAAAATAGCTTCTCCTTCCTCATCAAAAGCAGGTTCCTCTATCTCTTGTCCCCAATGGTGATGGAAAATGAGGTGGAAGGAACCATACGGGTGGAAAATTTAAAAGTTACTAGTAGTTGCAGGGTAGGTTAATTCATACTTTTTCTCAAGAATATTGGCAATGGCAGGGCCAAGAGAAATATTTTGTTTTCTTTTAGTGGAAGGAAGTCAAATGGGAGTCAAGTTTTCAATATAGTAGATAATCATTAGGGCTTCATTAAATTAGGTGTTGGGCATAATAAAGTATGTGACTAAGGAATGGGGTGGAGTAATATTGACACAATCTCTAGCTTTAGGAATGATTGAAGTTTGAAAGGCATAATGTATAATATGTGCATTCTTATTAAAGAGTGGACTAGGGGATGGTCTTGCTTTAGGGCAACATTTCAGATCATTAAAAAAACTGCACTCCAGTCAAAATCATTCCTTGAGGTCATTGATTGGGGTCGCGGTTCTTCTATGGAAAGATGAACATATGCTCCTAAGTCCTCCTTAGTGATCTCTATGGGTCTCTTATAGACGTATGATCGCAAGACAGGGGGGTTCAACACTAACCCTTAGACTCATGAAATTTAAATATAAGTTTTGAGTTAAATTGAAACGAAAGGGTAACGAGAAATTGGAGTGAGGTGGATGCTATCACCTCATAGTTCAATGCTAGTTAATTTAACATTCTTGAGAAGGCAATGCGAGCTTCCTTGTTTCTATGCTACATGACTTCATCTTTATCGAATTAAAAGAGATTTTCGATTGGGGGATGAGAGGAAAAGCCTCATTAGGTAAGGTGACCTTGCTTGTTGCCTCCGTCCAGTTGAGTATGTAATGCTGTGAGTGTATGAGTAGAGAGAGAATAAAGGAATTCATGGATTTGAGTGAATTGAATAATAGAAACCCCTCTAATTTATAAATTTTTTACTAATTGTATAGTACGATTTGAGATTATATAGTATGATCAAATGAAGTTAAATCATCTTGACGGCTTGTTTGAAAAAGGTGGTGAAATTATACAGTATGATCAGTATTGTATTAGATAACCTTAAGGAATTTTATTCATTCTGATTAGTCATTTGTACATTCTTTGACTAAATAGAGCATATAGTATGAATTGAATCATATTGTATGATGTGAACTATTTTTTCTTTTATTTTGTTTAAGCAAGTGAGAGATGTGTGTTGATCACGAAAATCTACTATACATAAAAAGATGAATAATAAAACAACATAAACAAAAAAACACAATCACACAAATTTTAAATGACACATTCCTAAAAAACACAAAATGAATTGTTCATTTCAAGCGATAGAAAAATATAGATTCATCCTGAATCAAGAATGAATGTCTATAACACCTAATTTAGTCCTCAAGGTGTAAAAGGTGTCATAGGCACAGAGTTTGGTAAAGATGTTAGTAAATTGATCTCCAGTGGCTATACGGTGTAGTTCTATATCCCCCTTGGTTATATGATGGCTTATAAAATGATGTTTAATGTCAATATGCTTTGTGCGAGAGTGTTGGATATTATTTTTGTTGATGTACATGGCATTAGTGTTGTCACATATAATATGAATGGTTCTTACAAGTAGTTTAAGATCTAAGATTTGTTTCCTTAGCCAAAAGACTTGAGCAATACAACCTCCTTCGACAATGTGTTCTCTCTCAACGGTGGATAGGGCTTCTGAATTTTTTATTCTACATGGCAAACAAACTAATGATTTTCCTATAAACTGACAAGTTCCTGATGTGCTTTTCCTAACTACCTTACATCCTGCAATGTCAAAGTATGAATATTCTTGGATTTCAATGGATGCCTATGTTTAGGGTACTATATACTAGGGTTTTAGGTGCCTAATGAGTATCTAAAGATTCTCTTAACTAAGGTATATGAGATTCTTTTGGATTAGCTTGAAATTTGTACAAAGACATACACTAAACATTATATCAGGTCAACTGACAATATAATGAAGAAGTGATCCAATTATCTCTGTATATTTTTTGATTAATTAATTCCATTTGGATCTTTATCTAGATGAATAGTAGATCTCATGAGAGTATTTATTACCTTAGTATTATCCATCTCATATTTGTTAAGTATATCTTTTATATATTTTGATTTACTAAGGAAGTTTTTATCATCTCTTTGCTTCACACTAAATCTAAGGAAATAGTTGAGCTTTCCCATCAGGCTCAACTCAAACTCTTTGCACATTATATTTGAAAATTCATTAATTAGTTTTTTTTTATGGATCAAAATAGTATATCATCGATATAAATATGAACAATGAGTAGTTCTTCTCCTACTTTATTAAGATATAAGGTTGTCTCTACACTCCCTTAACAAAAGCTCTATCGAGGAGGAATGTGCTCAGCCTTTCATACCGAGCTCTAAGTGCTTACTTTAATCAATATAATTCCTTCTATACTTTGAATAAATGATTGGGATATTGAAAATTCTCAAAACATGGGAGTTGGTCAACATATACATCTTCTTTTATCACTATATTTAGAAATGCACTCTTCATATTCACCTGATATAACTTGAATCCTCTAAAGTATGAAAAGTCTAGTATCCCTCTCATGGCTTCTAGTCTAGCTACATGGGCAAAGGATTCCTCAAAATCAATTTAATTAATTTGATTGTACTTCTTAGCTACTAATCTAGCCTTATTCCTCACCAATATGCTAGTGTTATTCATTTTATTTTTGAAAACCCACATAGATCTTACAACACTCTGGTCCTTAAGTCTTCTAACCAATTAATATACATCGTTTTTAATAAATTGATTTAGCTCATCTTGCATTGCTAGGATCTGAAATTCTTTGTTTAAGGGTTTATATATGTTGGTGGGTTTTTTCATGTAGGTAAACGTAGAACGACTAACCTCCTTCCTAAGTCTATGCCTAGTTCTAACACCTTCAGATGGGTCTCTTAGGATAAGTTCTCTAGGATGAATAGATGAGTATTTCCATTCTCTAGGCAAAGGCTCCTGAGGTTCTACTCTATCCCTTAAGTCAATAAGTTATACCACTTGGATAACCTCTACTTTCTTTTCTTCTTCTTGTCTTGGTTCAGAGGTTTTATCTGATTCATCAAACTTAATATGGGTAGATTCTTCTAATAATAATCTCCTCTTTTTAAAAATTCTATAGGCCTTATGTATAGATGAATATCCTAAGAAAACTCCATCATATTTGGAATCAAACTATTCCAAAGATGATTTATCATTGATCAGGATAAAACATCTACATCCAAAAACATGCAAATGAGAAATATTCAACTTGGGAGTAATACTTACACTTAAGGA